ATAATCTCACCAGTCCACCAATGGGAGGCTGACATTCCCGCCTGTCCAACTGCCTCCGTGGAGCAGTTTGACACCTTCCTTCTATGGTGGGAAGGTCCCCTAAAGCCACTCAGAGGATGCAGGATGGCAGGCGCCAAGTCCCTCCATCGCTCCTGGACCTCCCCGACTCCTCTCCTCCTTGGAGCGGATGGGAGGAGAGGCTTTTTGGGGCAACATAATACATAAAAGATATGCATTCCAGGATTTCTGTTTTCTTTTTCTTTTTTTCTTTTTATGGGATAATAACCTCTCGAAATTTCTTTCTTTTAATGTTGTTTTAAAACTTCAAGTATTTTGACAATTTGAACACCCCCTCCCTCCCTCTTTGCAAGTCTGGTTGCTGAGGAGAAACGTCAGCCTCTCCCCTGCCCTCCCATCTTTGTCCCAGAGAAGTGAGGCCCGGGACAAGTCTGAGACAGACGCCACAGGACTGGGTGTGTATCTGCAGAGGCTGCAGCCGGGTAGAGCGAGGGCAGGAACATCAGCAGGGTGAAGGGAGAGAGGAATGTGGTCGTGGAGTTTTTCTGTTTGTTTCTCTCTCTCCCCTTTCTCTCTCTGTCTCTGTGCCTGGGTGTGTCCTCTAAAGACTGAACCCAGAGCCTCACACATGCAAGTGTCCCAACCTCTGAGCTGTACACTTGACTTTTTTTATTTTATTTTTTATTTTTAAGACTCTCTACTCCCAGCACTAGGAGGCAGAGGCAGGCAGAGCTCTATAATTTCGAGGCCAGCCTTAGCCTTATCCATACAGCAAGTTCCAGGACAGCCAGATTACACAGAAAGACTGTCTCAAGAAAAAAAAAAAAAAGTGTGTGTGTGTATGGGTGTTTTTGCCCGCATGTGCATGCAGTGCCCAAGCTGGCCAGGAGAGGGCAGTGGGTCCCTGGAACTGAAGTTACAGAGGGTTGGGAAACCCTGAGGGTGCTGGGAATCAAACCCACGTCCTCTGCAAGAGCAGTCAGGACACCAAATCACTGGGCCATCTTTCCAGACCTCTGTTTTTGTTCATTTTGAGACAGGGTCTTGCTGTGTAGCTCATGATGTTCTCCAACTTGTGATCCTTCTTCCTCAGCCTCCTGAGTTCTGGGACTGCTGCTCCGTGCTACCAGGAAAAACCAAAATAGGATGAGTTCTGGGAGCATGGACCAGCGCCAGGGGCATTAGGAAAAACTGAACTAGCCAGAAGTGGGTTTAAAACAAAGCAGTAGGGTGTGATGGCATGCACCTGTAACCCCAGCAATGAAGAGGTAGATATGGGATACAAGGCCAGCTTGGGCTACGTGGCAATTTCAGGTCTAGCCTTCGCTACATGAGGCCCTATCTCAAAGGAGCCAACACACAAACAGTATGTCCAGTTGCCTTGGATTAATGATGTGAAAATACAATAAAGGCTGGGCGTGGTGGCACAGGGCTGTACTCTCAGATCCTAGGTGGCTGAGACAGGATGACCAGGAGTTCAAAGCCAGCCTGGCAGACATGGCAAGGCCCTGTCTTAGACCAAACAACAACAACAAAGTCCACTAAGGATCCAAAAAGACTACAGGCCTGCCTAGTGCCTTACAGTGACTAGAGACTAGAGAGGAGCGGGGCTCAAGGGCCATTGTGATTTGCAGTGATGGGGGCTGGGGTAGGTAGTGTGCCTGAAGAGTATTGTTTTCATGGCCGCCTTTCTCTCCTGCAGACAGGCATGGCCCTGCTTTTCCTGCTGGGCTGTGTATTCTTCCCAGTGTGCTTTGCTCTCCTCTGCTGGGGGCTGCAGAACCAAACCAGCTTTCGGAGGATGGAGAGGCCAGAGGCTGTTTTGGTGGCGTCAAAGTAAGATGGGTAGGGTGGAGTCTCTTTCCTGGGCTTGTGGAACTGATGCGTCTCAAGAGCAGCTGGGGTGGCCTCAGAGGAGGACACAGGGCAGTGGGGACAGGACCCCATTAATGGAATCTCTTGCAAGTCACTGAGGTTCCGCTCCCTCGTTTGGAAATGGGTCTGTTAATACCACTTTCTGTTTTCCTCAGACACTGTGAGGATCATGTGTCTAAGGGCTGTGGGCTCTGAGGAGGTGTAGGGCAGGGTTCATGGGACACCCCGTGAGAGCAGAAGACTTTGGGCTCCAGCCAGGCCTCACAGAACCAGCATGGGAACCCAGCCTGGGGCTGTGTGAGCCAGGCCAGTACCCTACCAACCCAACTGCATCCCAGTCCTCTCCCGCTGAGAGACAGCTTTATTCTGTAAGCCAGCCTGGTCTCACACCAGGCGCTTTTCCTGCCTCGGTCTCCCAAGTGCTAGCAATTGAGCTTTTATGTGAATCCAGCCAATAGCTTTGGTTTTTTTTGTTTTTGTTTCTTTTAGAATTGTTTACATTACATTTAGTCAGAGGGGGCGCACGTGCCGTGGCCCACGCATGGGCCTCAGAGGACAGCTTGTAGGGGTTCCTTCCTCCAGGTGTTCCAAGGATGGAACTCAGACATCAGGCTTGGGGACAAGCGCCTTCGCTTGCTGAGCCATCTCACGGGACTGAAACTGGTTGCCTTTTAACTGCTGATTCAAACTTGTATTTCAGTAGACCCCACCTTCTGCTGGCAAACACCATGGCGGGGAAAACGTGTTTGTGGGGTGGGTTGTGCCCCCAGGGCGCAGCTGGGACAGGGGTGCGGGAAGCAGGACTTGGGTGTTTGTTTTTCTTTTTCCTTCTTTTCAATGCTGTATATGGAGCCCAGAGCCTCTGAAAGGCCAGCTAACCACCAAGCTGGCTCTCCGGCCCCGAAAGGCAGAATTTGCCAAGCTGTCTGTGCAGATCCCTAGCAGAGAGAACAAAAATCGAAAGCACAAATCCCAAAGCTCCCTGGGCCGCTTCGCCCTAACCTGCACTGCCCACAGTTAGCGCACAGTCCCTTGACCATGTCTCTGATCTTCAGCCAAAGGAGTCTGGATACCAGCTCATCATCCCCAACTTAGTGCCTTTTACTCCTTTGTTCACTTTGTTGTCTTGGTTTTGTATGTTTTTGTTGTCTTGTTGTATATGTGTGTGTGTGTGTGTGTGTGTGTGCGTTCTATCTGCATGTACACCTGCACGCCAGAAGAGGGCATCAGATCCCAGTATAGATGGGTTGTCTCAGAACTTTTTCAGCCTTTGTTTTTATCCTGTTACTCTCCGTGAACCTCCTGCCTCAGCCTTCCGAGTACTGGGATTACAGGCCTGTCCCTATACTAGCAGCTCAGCAGCTCAGGCTAGGCTGGGATTCTTCTGGGAATTTGCTGTATAGATCAGGCTGGCTTAGAGCTCCCAGGGACCTGCCTGCCTCTGCCTCCGCCTCCTGCACACCTGTGTCCCTGGCTTTTCCCGGAGTGAAACAAACACAAGCTTGAAATCCCATCTTACTAATGTGCATGCCTGTTTCATCTTGACAAGTTTGTTTGTTTGTTTGCTTGTTTTTGTTTGTTTTCTCAAGACAGGATTTCTCTGTGTGTGGCCCTGGCTATCCTGGACTCACTTTGTAAACCAGGCTGACCTCAAACTCACGGTGATCCACCTGCCTCTGCCTCCCAAGTGCTGGGATTAAAGGCATGGGCCACCATGTCCGGCTTGACAAGTTGGGTGTTTTTTTTGTTGTTGTTTTTGTTTTGTTTTTTTCCTAACCTATAAGCCTTGGTTTCTTCTTCTCCAACCCTAAAAGATAGTATTCAGGTCTGCAATTGTCCACACCTGCCGGCGCCAAGACTTCCCTTGGCCGTTCCCACAGACTGCCACTAGAGGGCAGCACGAACTAGCAAATCAGCCCCTTCCTCCAGGGAGCAAGGGAGTAAGTAGGCTGTGGGCTGGAAAGGTCAGTTGTCAGCAGATTTTTGAGGCTTCTCTCAGGGCCAGTGGGAAATCCAAACTACAGTTAGGTATCAGGCCCCGTGGTATTCAAATCTGAAGGACTGATGGGTCTGGGAAAGGCAGGGCTCCAGGAGGCCAAAGTAAGAGCGAGGAGCAGTTGTGGGCTAGGCCTAAATCCCCCTGTGCTTCCCCTTAGATTAAACAAGGGGGCTCTGTCAACCAGGCCCCAGGCTCTTCCCGTTCGTAGGCAGGACTGTTCAGAGGAATAGGAGCCAAGGAGAGAAAGGGGCTCCAGGAGGCCATGCAGTCTGAGGAAAGTGAGCTTCTGTGGCTCTGTGTGGTGCTTCCCCTGCAGCCCACGCTGGCCTCCACGAGGGATCCCCTTGCTTCAGCCTCCTGAGCGTCCTGCCGCCAGGATGAGCCATTCTGCCTAGTGTCTGTTTTTACCCGGTGCCGGCCGTCAGAGCCCTGCCAAAAGGGCTCCGCTAGTGAGCTCCCTGTCCCCACTTAGCCCTGTGCCTGTCATTAACTTTCTGCCTGGGGGTCTTGGCTCACACCTCAGGACCATTCCCTGACCCCTAGGAAGCAGAGGAGCAGAGATTGCGGGTGCTGTTAGTGAGGCAAAGGACACCAGGCAGTGTGAGGCAGAGCGCAGGGAGGGGCTCGGTACCTGGGTAGATTCCACCCCTGACTGGGGGAGCTGGGGGCGGGTGGTGGCGGCTCTAGGTCTGAAGGACCCGGGGAGGTGGGTTCATTCCTACCCATGTCTTCAGTGTTCCCTTCAGGGAAAGCAAGAAACACCCCCTGCTCAGGCCGCCTTCCCCAGGGAACCTTCTTGGCTGGCTCTAAGCTGAGATCCCGAAAGTCCACTGAGGGACACACATTCAGATTTATAATCACTGACGGGAGGAAAATGCCAGACATTTTCAAAGTGCTGATGGGAAAGGGGGCTTCAGTGCCCCCCCCCAGCTGAAGGAGCCCGGGGCTACCTTTTTTCCCCCCAAGAAAAGAGCCATCTCTTCCATAGTCCTTGTCCCCAGCAGGCCCCCTGCGCTGCAGCTCCTGTCTCTTTAAGGGCCTCCCCCTCCCTCTTTCCCTGTCTCCCCCCCCCCACCCTCCCCATCTCTGTCGCAGCCGCTGCTGTGGCTCAGAGCTGCATGGGAGACAACGCTGCGGTCCGGTTTCTCGGTGTCTGGTCGGTGCCATCCTTCCCCTCCCCCTCTCCCGTCCTCCCCAAGCTGGTGGCTCCCCCTCCCCCTCCCCCTCCTCACAGAGGGGGCAGGGGGCTGGGCACCACCTCTATCATGCCCTGTGCAGTGCCTGCACAGGGCAGCAGGGCTGTGGCAGCGGCAGGAGGAGGTGGCGGCAGCCTGTGGTGGCGGGAGACGCGTGTCGACTGCTGACCGATTCCCCGGCTGCCGCTCCCCCGCTCGGCTCCGTCCTGCCCTCCCTCCCTTTTGCCAGGGCTGGCACCACCGTCCCCCCCCCACCCCGCCTCCTCGGGCCCTCCCAGCCTCTCCACGTAACCCCCCCACCTGCCGCGGCTCTCCCTCCCCTCCCCCAGCTGCATCCTACTCCTCCTCCTCCTGTCCCCTCTCCCTCTCGGTCCTCTCAAGTCTTCCCTTGGTCGGCTCTTCCCATCCCTCTCACCGGCGTCCCCCCCCCCACTCTGCCTAGCTGGCTCTTTCTTCCTGTGTCCCCAGTCTCATTGAAGTCCCTCTCTCCCTTGCTCTGAACCGGCCCCCTTGTCCCATCCTGTCCCCGCCCTGGCCCCTTTGTGCCTCCCCCTCCCTCTTTCTCTCTCCCTCCCTGGCTTGCCATCCCTTCTCCACCTCTTACCCCCTCAGTTTGGCCTTCCTGTCCTTTCTGGACCCTCCGGTCTCCCTGCCCGGGTCCCAAGTCACCATGCTTACCCCAATGGTGGCTGGGGGGGTGGTGTTCCCCGGACTCTTCCTCCTATCCAAGAACACGCTCCAGAGGCTGCCCCAGCTGCGCTGGGGGGAGGCCGACGCGGTCATTGTCTCCGCCAGGTAAATGGCATGCCCTCCGTGAGTTCAGCCCCCCTCTCCCCCACAGGCTTCCTGGGGAAGGGACCCCAGCACCTCCCTGGGCCCTGTAGCAGTGGGTAGGTTTACCTCCATGCTTCCTTCCCTCCTTGAACCTCACCTTCCCTGGAGACCTTATTGAAACCCAGCCATCTGGTCTACTATTCAGCTTGATCTTCTTGCTTCCCCTTATCACCCTCCCATCCTGTAAGGCAGGCCAGCCTGTGACTAAACAGTCCCACAAGATACCCAGGAATGAGCCAAGGGGCAAGACCATGGTTTTCAGGGCCAGGGTTTGGGGGAGTCAGGGCACAGAGAAGTAGACAGTGAGACTTGCACATCCCTAGAATAAGGCCATCAGGAAGAGGATCGTAGTAACAATTAGGGGGAATTGGGACTGTGGCCTGGGGGTAGGGAGCTTGGGGTCACTGTGGGGCCAGTGCCTGTAGGCATGAGCTGCAGGCTGACTGGGTGCCGAAGGAGTGCAGGCCTCCTTTGGCCCTCATGGGTTCCTCCCCTCCCTCCCCAGGGAGGGACCTCACTGTCAGCCATTCCCAAGCACTGGCTTACCTCAGGATGACCTCCTTGGTGTCCTGGGAGGAAGAAAACTCAACCGCCACAAACTAGGAATGAAGAAGGCTGGGAGAAGCGGGAACTGAGGGATCCCAGCTGAGCACGGCTTAGCTGAAAGCCATGGTGGGGGAGCATGGCCTGGGAGGAGGAGGAGGAGGAGGAATGGCACGGAGTCCAAAGCCCGGTGACTGTGGTAGTGAGGGGGGAAACGGAGGCACACACCTTATTTTCACTCTTTACTCTGTCTCCCTAGGCTGGTGTCTTCTGTCCAAGCCATCATGGCCTCCACAGCTGGCTACATAGTTTCCACCTCCTGCAAGCACATCATTGACGACCAGTAAGTGCCTTGTGACCATCTTTGCCCAGGTGCCTAGGTGTGGGACCTGGGATCCCCCAGATCTGTAGTGGTCCCTGAACCGGGGCCCCAAAAGCTCATGTGATTGCCACAACCAGGGATAAATTTATCCCATCCCGTCTTAATGGTCAGAAACAAGGAAGCAACGGGAGAGATCAAAGAGAATCCTCAAAGCACTTCCTGGTTGTCTCCCCGGCCTCTTGTCATAGGTTCTGAATGTCAGCCGTGCCTTCTCCAACTCTTGTGTCCCTCATATTCTGCTTCCATCCAGTACTTTACTGAGTCTCCTCACCACGCTCCTCCCAACTCCTTCTGTTATCCATGTGTCTGGCCTCAACTCGTGTCCGGGGGAGAAGAGAAAGTGATGACACAAACAGAGCCACCAAGGGTCAGGCAGTGGGGGTTGGGGGGTGAAGAGGCCAAAATTTGGCACTGGCAGCTACTGCAGTATTTGGTGCTTGCCAAAAAGGCCCAGGGCCTGAGAGGTGGGGCAGGAGGAGGGCGCAGGGAAACGCTGGCCCTGTCCGTGGTGCTGATCTGCCCATTTTAGCTCGCCGTGGGCCGCTGCCAGTTTGCTGTGTGCCCAGAATGCCCTTCCTTGACTTATAGCTTCTGTCCTGACTGCCCTTCCTTGCTGTCCTTTGAGCCCGAGGGAGCACTGTCTGTGTGAGCCTGCTCTCCATCCAGGTGTCTGTTTGTCTCTTCTTTTCCCATGGGCTGAGTTCTCTGCTCCGAGGATCTAGAGTGAGGACACAGTCCTCCCCAGAAGGGCTTCTGCAGGCGGGAACTGAGTAGGTCCAGTGCCTAGAACAGTGCTCAATGGGCTCCATCAGGCAGAGGCTTAACTCTTAGGATCCTTCTCCACGACTTGATTTGTCCTTGATCCTTCTAAGAGGGGCCTTGGTGCCGGGCATTTCCTCCTCACCTGTTCTTACCTAGAGGTCACCTTTGGGCTCTCGAGTTCCCACCCTCAAGTCCACTCTTGGCCTTGTTCCTCCTTTAATCCTTAGGTAGGTGGGAGGATCAGGGCTAATCCGGGCAGCAGCTGTTCTTACTTCTGAGCACCTAATTGCCAAGAGGGTGGGGATGGAATCTAACACCTCGCTTGTGAACCCAGGGCCTTCTGGCTCCCCCACAGCCTGGAGCCCTCTGGCTTCCAACCCTCGCCCCAGCCCTGGGCAGGCTCTGAGCCTTCCTTAAGCATGGTTGGGTCCTGTCTCCGCCGCCTCTCCCCTACCACCCCTCTCTGCCTCCTGAACACGTCCCCCTACATCAGGGCAACACAGGTCCCTGAAACAGTGGGCCGCCTCTCCCTGCTCAGGACAGTCTGCTTGGATAAGCTGCCGCTGCCTTTGTAAACCCCCCCATCCCCTCACTCCCTTCACCAGCACCCACACCTGGCATCGGCTTTTGCTCTGCTCCCTCCGGGGCCTTTCTGTCTCCTGCCCCCACCTCAGGCCTGTCTGAGGATTCCTGGGCTTGAGAAAGCCTCTGTGCTGACTCAAGGGAAAAAAAAAAAAAAAGTGCCACGCCGCGTCTTCTTGGCCTTCCCGTATTTGTTTACTCCAAAGTCTGTAGAACTCTCTCTGTTCTTGGCATCTCTGCCCGGCATTTTCTCTTTCCTGCTGGCCATACCTGACTAACAATAGACCTGCCACGCCAGAGCAAAGGCAAGCTGTGGTGCCGGTCCCTGTGCTGCTCCGGGGACTGGCTCTAACCCTCCATCCTTCTGAGACAGGGGGCCAAAGGCGAGGACTCCTGTGGTTATTTCTTGGCCACCAGGTTACTTGGCCTCTCCATGACCTGGGCTTTCACGAGGCGTGAACCAGTTGCTGATGTAGCGCCTGGCACTCGATAGGCTGTCCTGTCAGCTGGTCGTGGGCCACAGCTCCCCACAGTACTTGGAAGTTCCTCACTGGCACCTAACCGGGCACCCTGGCTCCTTCCCATCCTTGGTTGCCCAGTCTGCAGTTTCTCTGGTCTCCTCTCCCCAAGAGACTGCCGAGGCAAAGGGTGGACGGAGGACAGAGATAGAGACATGGGGAGAGGGTGGGTTTCCTGGTCTGCGAGACTGCCTGGCCTTGGCCGGTTTCTCACCCACCACCTGTCCCCCCCTTCTCTCCCCCCTCCCCGCAGGCACTGGCTTTCCTCGGCCTACACACAGTTTGCGGTCCCCTACTTCATCTATGACATCTACGCCATGTTCCTCTGCCACTGGCACAAGCACCAGGTTAAAGGGCACGGAGGGGAAGACGGGACGCCCAGAGCCGCGGGCAGCACCTGGGCCGTGGTGCGCGGCTACCTGCACAAGGAGTTCCTCATGGTGCTCCACCACGCGGCCATGGTGCTGGTGTGCTTCCCTCTGTCAGTGGTGAGTCCTCCCTTCCGCAGCCAGGAGACTCCGGGGTGCCCGGGAGAGGCTCCTCCCCAGTGCTCGGGTCCCACGAGGCAGGACTTGGGATGGGCACTGGCTACCCGTATGGGAGCCTGCCCTTCTGTGGCACAAGGCACACCCTCTCCGTCTGCACGCTTGTGGGCAGCACACTGAGGGTTGGGAACCCGGGACTGAGTGTCTCTCTGGGCTGAGGATGTCTCTCAGCTGGTAGCATGTCTCCCTAACGTGTACGAAGCCCCAGGTCTAATCCCCAGCACGTTGTAAGGCCAGCATGGCAGCACATTTGTAACCTTAGCGCTTGGGAGTGGGAGCAAGACGATATGAGGTTTAAAGTCGTCCTCTGCCACACGGTGGGTTTGAAGCCAGTCTGGTTACATGAGACAATAGTCTGGAAAAAAAAAAAAAGCCCCACAGTGGCCGTGCCTGTCTTAAAGCTTATCGACTCGGGAGGCAGAAGCAGGTGGATCTCTAAGTTCAAGGCCGCCCTGGTCTAGAGTGAGTTCCAGGACAGCCTCTGGCCAAACAGAGAAACCCTGACATGGGGGGCAGGGGGAAGGTGGGGATTGGGACAGGGCCGGGGAGATGGCTCTGCCGGTCCGGTAAGGAGTCTTCTTGCAAAGGGCTGTTTGAAAAGCTGGTGTGTGCTTAACCACTAGCTTCGGGGAAGGAAAAAGAGGACAATTCCTGGGGCTTTGCTGGCCAGCCGTGCAGCCAAGTGAGTTCTCCCAGGTTCGGTGAGAGACCCTGCCTCAAAAAAAAAAAAAAAAAAAAAGACAGAAAATCAAGGCAATTGAGGAAATGGACCTCTAGCCATATACACACATGTACATATACACATGAACACACACACACAGAGGAGAGGGAGGGAAGGGGGAGCGAGAGAGCGAGAGCCCTCAGCATCCCTGAAGGCGGTGCTCCTCAGACTTGCCTCTTCCCCCAGGTGTGGCGACAGGGCAAGGGAGATTTCTTTCTAGGCTGCATGCTGATGGCGGAAGTCAGCACCCCCTTCGTCTGCCTGGGCAAGATCCTCATCCAGGTGAGAGTGACCGAGGGGCCTGTGGGGTGGACACCTCTGGGTTTTGTTTGTTTGGTTTTTTTTTTTTTTTTTTTGGGGGGGGGGGATTCCTTAAAGACCATGCAGCCTTTCAGCACGGCGGTATGTGCCCGTAACACTAGCACTGGGGGAAACTGAGGCAGGAAGAGCGTGAGTCTGAGACTAGCCTGGGCTGCCTAGTGAAACCTGGGCCGGGGTGCAGTGCCGGCTGTGGGAAGAGCCACAGGCGGGGAGGGGCAGCTGGGAGCCGCCTCTTCTCGCTCTGCCACGCCCCTCCGTCCGCAGTACAAGCAGCAGCACACGATGCTGCATAAGGTCAACGGCGCCCTGATGCTGCTCAGCTTCCTGTGCTGCCGCGTGCTGCTCTTCCCCTACCTGTACTGGGCCTACGGGCGCCACGCCGGCCTGCCCCTGCTCTCGGTGCCCCTGGCCATCCCGGCCCACGTCAACCTGGGCGCCGCGCTGCTCCTCGCTCCCCAGCTCTACTGGTTCTTCCTCATTTGCCGAGGGGCCTGCCGCCTCTTCCGACCCCGAGGTTCCCCACCACCCTCTCCTTGTCAGACCCAGGATTGAGGCTGGGGCCTGGGAACCCCCCCCCCTCCCCAGCCCCTGTGGAGACAGCGCTTTGGGGCCAATGGATGTGTATGGGGGGGGGGGGTGAGAGCCAGGAGTCCCTTGCCTTGACAGCCCCAAGACAGATGGACTCAGATGGGGAGGAGCTATATGCCCTTGGGAGCTGAGGTCAGACTGGCAGGCAGGAAGAGAGGGGACCGGGATGGAGAGCCTCAAAATGAAAGGAAGGGGGACGAGAGCCGGGACTCAGTGGGACCAAGGAGTCAAGGGACATGGGGGTGGTCCCCCGCTGCCAAGGACACCCCAGCCCTGCTGCTGCAAATCCCTCTCTGCTCCCCATCGCCCGGCAGAGAGAAGACCCCCTGACTCACCCCGTGTGGGCACCCCGAGAGGGCAGGGGACCCCTGCGCCTTCCTGCGGGGGACCATGCTGAGGGACCTTATTTATTGATTGGCCCGCATCAAGCTAATCTGTTGGGGTGAGGGGAGGGAGGCGATTGCTCCCCTACAACCTTCCCAGCGCTGAGCAGCTCTGGGGGCAGGCGCCAGGCCAGTCCCTTCTGTCAGGGGCATATTTAGCCCTCGGGCCCCGGCTTGTCCCTGGTGCTACAGGCCTCTCGCGGCTTCCTCCAGTCTGGGGCCACACACAGACCCCGGGAGGTGCTTTTACAGACTGCTAATAAAGACGATCTTCCTGAACGCCAGCAAGGCCCTTGGGTCCGGTGTTTGAGTCTGGGAAGGGAGGCTGTGAGGGCTTGGAGGACCACTAAATAGTAAGGGAGGAAGGAGGAGATGGGAGGGGGTGTGCCACGAATGGCCACAGAGAGGATCCTGGGAGGAAGGGCCTGCATGAATGGCGGCATGGAGGAGCACTGCACAGTCGGGGAAGGAAGGAGGTGCCACCTTTATTTCTCAGGAGGGCTCGGCGCAGGCGTGGCCCTAGGCTGCGTCCGTCCAGGGCTGCCGTCCGCTCCGCTGTCCCTTTCCTCAGGCCCCTTTCTGGAAGCTCCTGAGGGGTGTGCAATCACATGAGGAGGGGTGCCCGGGGGACTTGAGTTCTCTGGAAGGGGCAGGGTAGGCGTGGGGACAGGACTCACGCATGCGTGAAGAACTGGAAGAGCAGGAAGAAGAAGCCCACCACCAGGGCGCCCACCAGGATGTGCTGGAAGAGCTGGGAGCCGGAATCTGCCAGAGAGTCAAGAGCTGCTCTCCTCCGGACCCTGCCGGGCGGGAGGCCCCTCTAGCCAAGCTGCTTCCTACCTGCCCTAACAAAGGTCACGGGCTTCTCTCCGATGAACTGGGCTACAGCAAGGAGGCTAGCCTGGTCTGAGTCTGGGTAATCAAAGAAATCAGGCCTGTCTACGACGAGCTGGGGGCTGACTCCCAGTCCTGAGGCCCAGGTGCCATCTCCTCTGGGTGCTAGGAACCAAGGCAGAGCCTGTGAGAAGAGCCCACGGGCCCCGCTGCGTCCACCGAAGCGGCCAGGAGAACTCGGGGCCCTGCCTGTTTTGCTCCCAGGGCTGGCCGAGCTCCCTCCCATCAGAATCCCACCATGTCTGGGATGGGGAGGAAAGGACACTAATGCAGAATGAAAGGAGAAAGGTCAGCCAAGGCATCTTGGCTCGTGGCTCTAGCCCTACCATCAGGAAGCAAAGGCAGGAAGGTCGCTGCAAGTTTGAAGTCAGTTTGGGCTATATAATGAGCCTAGATTCATAAAATGAGATGGAAGAGAAGGGAGAGAGGGGAAAAAAGAAGGGAGAAAGGAAAGAGAAGGGGAAGAAAGGAGAGGAGAGGGCCCTAGGGCTGGGTTGGTCTCCTGTGACAACCAAGTTGTCCTTATCCTCAAGCCTCCGTTGTTCCTACTATCCACGAGCCCAGCCTCCCACCTGCTTCTCCGGTCCCCAACTCAGCCAGCCACATCCACATGCACATAGGCAGCCACTGCCACAACCTCATAATTCTCCGCTACTATGAGTGAGCAGGATTCCATGATGTCACAGCCCAGAGACATTCCGGTAGCCTGGCTCTGGGGTGCTTCCAGATCCTGACGGAAAAGAGCCCATTGGGCCTCATGCTCAGGGACCCAGCCTGACAAAAACAACAAAGTGGTGGAGGTCAGGCGGTGTAGCCCAGGGGTAGAGCTTTTTGCTTGGCATGCACAAGGCCCTGGGTTCTCTCACAGAACCACAGTCACTGGTCAGCGGTGGCCCGCAACTTAGCTGGGACTCTGGGACAAGGCATTTGCGTAGCATCTGTATTCAGGAGGCCCAAGCGGGCCACACAACTCCTGCTGTCCTTTGGATCAGCCACAGCTTATTAACGCCAAGCAATTTGCAGATTGGCTCGCGTAACTTGCGAGCTCCCTAAGAGGGAGGCGCGAACCAATGCGCAGGGGGAAGAGGAAGCCTGACGCGCTACCCCTCCCGAGGGTGTGCGTTTTCCTGTGTGGGGCTGCCCTCTGCATCCCGTCCCCCAGGTTCAGGGCTCTGTGTCCATCCATCCATCTCCAGCCTTGGCCTGAGCGCTTAGCAGAGATGGAAGCGCATGAGGAACCGGGGAAACGCCAGGCTTTTCCACCAGGTGGCAGCAGTGTTGGCCCGACGGTGCCACCATCTCTCCCACAGGTTACAGCAGGTCCAGCGGGTGCGGCAGGCCGGCTGCTCTCCCGGGACTGGTTGTCGCGGGGAGGCGGGGAGTTTATCTTCAGAGGAATTCCACACACACACCCCCGCCCCCCACCCCGGCTCATTCCCCAAGGCTAGTCTCTCGGCCTTTCAAAGAGCCTAGTCTACTCACCTCACCGTGACTCAGTTTCCCCTTTGACAACATTGGTGGTATATGAACGCACCCCCCCTTCCCGCCTCCATCCCACCCCTGTCTCTTTTCTCTAGTCCCCGCAGTCCTCCTGGTGTCATTTCCTAATTGCGACCTGCACTCCAGAGGCCCCATCTCGAGTTGTAAGGGGTAGCTCGTTTCTGATTGGCAGTCAGGCCTGTCTGTCACAAATGTATTCCAGCCCGCCCGGGCCAAGGACACTTCAGGGTCCCCTTGATTGAGCCTCTGCTTGTGCTTGTTTCACACACTCCTCGCTACTCTGTTTTTCCACTTGCCCCCGAGGTCGGCTCCTCACTGAAGGATCCTCTCTCCTTCCCACACCAACCCACCCGTTCTCCACATTAACAGCCTTGCCATGATCAGCATTTCTTTTTTCCTTTTCCTTCCTTCCTTCCTTCTCTCTCTCTCCCTCTCTCTTTTCTTTTCTTTTAATGCAGGGTCTCACCACGTATCCTGTCCGTCCTGGAACTCACTGTGTAGACCAGGCTGGCCTCGAACTCACAGAGGTCTGCCTCTGCCTCCAGAATGCTGGGATCAAAGGTTGTGCACATCTACATAAGGCTCAGCTTTTGTTTTGTTTCGTTTTTTTCCTCAGTTAATCGCAGCTGGTGAGAATTCAGGAGTTGCCACAGCCATGCTGGAAGGCAGTCATGGCATCACTTCCTCCTCCTCTTTTTTCTTTCCCTCTCTTCTTTCAACTTTCCTTCTTCTCTCACGAATTCCATGTTTACTGCAGTTTCCCTTCCTTCTACTCCTCTCAGTCCCTCTCCCCACTTCCCTTCTCCCCCCAGATCAACTCACCCCCCCCCCCAAAAAAAAAGAACAGGACTCCCAGAGAGATCTACCTAACATGGCCTAAAAAGATAAAATAAGACTGGGCACAGACCCTCATATCATGGCTGGATGAGGCAACCCAGTAGGAGAAAAGGGGTTCCAAGTGCAGGTGAAAGATTCAGACACCCACACACACACTGCTGGGACTCCCACAAGGAACCCAATCTGCACAACCATCAGGCACACACAGAGCTCCCATCTCAGACCCGCACAGGGTCGGTGACTGTCATTCCAGGATCTGTGAGCCCCTGTGTGCCCGGCTCAGTTGACTCTGTAAGGTCATGTTCTCGTGGTGTCCTTGACCCCTCTGGCTCCTATACTTCTCCCCCCACCCCATTCCACAGCTTCCCCTCATGTTTGGCTGTGGGTCGATGCGTCAGCTCCTATCAGCTGCTGGTTGACATCTCTGTGATGACGTTTGGGCCAGGCACTGTGAGTATCGCAAGAATAGCATTAGGAGGAGCTGGAGAGATGGCTCAGCAGTTAAGAGCCCTGGCTGCTCTTCCAGAGGTCCTGAGTTCAATTCCCAGCTCGCAGGTGGTCGCATGCCTCTTCTGGCCTGCAGGTGTACATGCAGATAGAGCACTCATATACATAAAAATAAATAGGTAAAATCTTAAGAAAATATATCATTAGGAATCATTTCATTGACTCCCCCCGCCCCCGCCCCAGCGTTTGTTCCTGGATCTCCGGGCTATCCGGTCTCTGGTTCCTGGTCCTCCAGGGGGCTCCCTCTCATGGCACCAGCCACAGGTTGGACCAGTCCTGCAAGCCCTGTGCTACCATCGCCACAGCACATCTTGCAGGCAAGACAGATGGTAGGTGGAAGGTTTTGTGGCAGGGCTGGTGTCCCATTGCTAGGAGTCTCACCTGGTTATAGAAGAGAGCCAGGTCGGGCTCCGGATCCCCGGTTACTAGGAAGGAGATTTCACTAAGGTCACGTGTGGGTTCCAGCGAGTTTCCATGGCACTCGTTTTCCACATTGCTTCTGAAATGTCCCCAATTCCAGTCCTCTCTCCCTCCATTCCCCCATCCACCCAGCCTGATCCCTCCTGTTCCCATCCCCACCACCCGCTCTCCACCCGAAAAATATATCCTATTTCCCCTTCCCAGGGAGATCCATGTGTTTCCACCTTGAGCCTTTCTGGGTCTGTGGACTGTAGCATGATTCTCCTTTCCTTAACAACTAATGTCCGCTTACAAGTGAGCACGTATCATGTTTGTCTTTCTGGGTCTGGGTCAGCTCAGCTTTTATTTTCTAAACAAAAAGGCCTAGAGAGGTAGGCAGGGTGGTTCGTAGCAGTGCTCCCGAGACTAGAGCAGGAGGAATACACACAGCAAGATCCCATCCGAAATGGGATGCGAGCCCTGCTTCCACAATACCAGGCAGGGGCCAGCCTCTGAGACAGCACCCACCTGAGCGGTGTTTTACCTTCGAGATTCTTTTTTAAGACGCTCATGTACTCAGGTGCGTCCTTCTGAATTCTACTAAAGCAGCTTTGCCAGCCCTCCCACTCTGCTTAAGAACGACAAGCAAGATGCTGAAGTGGAAAGTCCAGAGGAAATACACCTGCAGCCTTCACACACCTGGCCCTGAGCCCCACCCACAAATACACAGAGCAATCACCACCACCAGCACCCACTCCCAGCGGCCAGAATAAGGCAGGTGAGACCCTTCTCCCTCAAGTGGCTCTCTGGACCTCCTGTTCTTCCACTTGTCTGCCCTGAGTGACGGTAGAGAGTTCCCACTGTGTGCTGCCCTGGGCTCTGCTTAAGGTTTAGAACCAGCATCGTTTCCAGAGTGTGGATGTGGCTAGGAGCGGGCAGAGCATCTGCAGCAGAAGTATGAGGGCCCAAGCTTAAATACCTAGAACCGCTGGGCATGCTGGTGCACACCACGGGATAGCATCCCCACACCAAAGAGGCAGAGGCTGGGAGGCGACACTGTGAGTTCCAGGACAGTCAGAGCTACATAGTGAGAGCTTGTCCCCAGGCAGAAGGCGAGCAGGGTGCACACGCTGTCTTTTGACTTCCGCATGCACCCCCATGGCATGCACAAGTGCGTGTAAAGGAAGGATGGAGGGAAGACAAGAAGGAAAAGAAGGAAGAAAGGAAAGGGAGGAAGGAAGGAAGGAAGGAAGGAAGGAAGGAAGGAAGGAAGGAAGG